ATTAAACAATATGAAAGTTGGCACTTTGTGCATGAAAATGAAAGATGGAGAATGATCGAGAGCATTAAAATGCACCGGAAGGGGCTTCATGATTTTAAGAAAAGATTATTGTTGACAAATTACCTTTAAATATAACTTGGACAAATTTATAATATTCTTTTAGTAAATTTCTCATAAAAGTATAATGAACGACTCGTGGAATAATTTAGTCGAATATTCGGAAGTCGCTATAATGGATGATTATTTAAAAAAATAAAAAATAGATAAAATCCAAACATGAAGCATTTAAAGAAATTGCAGTTTATTAGAAATTGTCAACAAGTTATTTTATTGTCATTAACAAGTTAATTTGTTGTCATTTCAATGATACCTAAACTTACTTTTGTAACATACTTCTATTTTTTATTTTTCAAATGATTTTCACACAGGCGGATTTAGGGAGGACAGGGTTGGGTTTTAACCTAGTCCAGTCCTAGCCCTATTCAACATATCATGGGTAAAAAAAGTTATAAGCAAAAAGAGATCTATAAATTGAAGAAGCAGCTAAAATTGGACCAAACTATAGGCCCATGATTTAAATAAACAAAAGAAGCCCAAAGCTTAAAAATATGGTTAGGAAATTGACCAACGGGCTAATAAAAAATAGAGACTTTGTTGAAAAGAAAGAGAAAATTAGGCCTTCTACTAAATTTTTGGGAAAAAATTGAGTTATATTGACAAATTGAGAGGAAAATAGGCATAGACCTTTTGTTATTTCTAATAGTAAAAAAATTATGTATTTGTAAAATATTTTTAAAACTAAAGCAGATCTCAAATCGATCTTGCAAATCTTCTTTCCCCTTCCTTTCCTCCCCAAACCCCAAAAAATCAGGCAAGAACAAATTCATTATAGAATCTGCAATAAGGGATTCAAACGAAATCCTTTTCTTGAATAAATTTCTCTATCAACAATCACTCACAAAGAACATGTATTGCTATACTAATCTCTCTATACAACAATCTCACAAAGAAATCGGTCAAAAAAGCATTCAATTGATGACCAATCCATGAACATATAAAGGGGAGTTGCATTTTTTTTCTATATAGATATGAAGT